AGACCATGTTTGTTTATCCTAACCACTTTACATTGTCCTTAGTGACCCCTTTTGAGCCTTAAGAAAAGGCAATCATCCAAATTATAAGAGCCGAGATGATTTTCTTGTCAATTTACCTACATCATGAACCAGGGGAGTGAAGAGTGATTGTGAAGGGGAAATACTTATGGCAAGAGATTTTGAGCCTTCATATCCTTCTTTTTGATAACTTAACCCAAAGCCACATTACAAGCCAATAAAAGTCCTTATCAAAGAATTTAACAGCTTTTAGTTTGATCATGAATTTCCTTCAAAAAAAAAAAGAAAAAAAAAAGAAGAAAAAGAAAAAGAAAAAGAGGAAAGAAGAGGGTGACCTAGCAAACTAAATGTTTCCTTGACTTGGAAAGTTGAAGATCTAATGATGAAAGGCATTGTTTCTCTATCCCAAACAGTTAACATTGTCCTTTGCTTACCCTTTTTGAGCCAGAAAAGGCAATCATCCAAGTTCAAAAAAGCCAAGATGATTTTCTTCTTGTTAACCCACATCAATGCCCGAGGTCGTGAAGAGAGAAATGTGAGGGGAATATATGAAGAAATTGATTTTGAGCCTTTATTCCTTTCTTTCATAATAGCCTAAACCCTAGCCACATTACAAGCCTATACAAAGTCCTTATTTGAGGGTTTGAAACTTTCTTTGTCAAGGAACATTTAAAAAAGAAAAAAAAAATCCTACCTCTAGTGAGTCCAAGTCAGTTAGTACAACTAAAAGCTCGATGGTTTATGATCGGTCTTCTAAACATTGAAGGTTAGTTCATGGGAAGGAGATAGATTTGATTTGTCCACCTTGGCATGGAAGTAGACATTGTCTCATATGCTAAAGACTGGATTGGTGGAGTTGCAAAGAAATAAATTCTTGAAGCAAATGCTTTATAGCCTGAATGCCTTCTAGCTTTGTTAAAATTGTTGCATCAAAAGTTGTGCAATTCAAAAATCATGTTTATCTCTTTCTATCCATACATATTATCCATGCCCTGGCCTTCTTTTCCTTGTTTAGATTGGGAGGCTGATTGGTTATGATGCTTTATTTCAGTTAATATAATTGCTTTATTTAACTGAAATCTCTTGACAAATCTGAAAATGAGATGAGAGTTGCAGAGAAAAGCAAAAGCTTGATTCAACGGTCATGGTGCTTATCTTATCTTGTAATGATTCGGGAATTTTCCCTAGTGAACTAGAGATGTTCCCAAGTCACTGAACTTTATGCAAAACATGTCATCAAGCCTATTAATGAATGTGCAACATGAAAGACACAGGACTCTTGTCAAATATGGACATCCAATATGCTCAGGGAAGTTTCTTAACCTTTCTTCATTCTACCTTATCTTATATATGAAGATTGTCTCACTTGCATATGTTTCATGGCTGCAAATCTTTCAATCATTACTTTCATCCAGCCTTTTGGTTGCATTTACACTCATTAGGTCCACGTACTGATACTTTACTTCTTCCGGTCTTTCGACCATACTAATACTCTACTTTTTCGGTCATTCGACCATACTGATACTCTACCCAACTTGGTCGATTATAAAACCGTCTCAACTCAAACTTGCTCGGTTGTTTGACCGTGGCTACTCAACCTGCTCAATCGTTTGATCGTTGCAACTCAGCTTACTCGGTTATAAAACCGTTTCTACTCATACTCTACTTTCTTGGTCATTCAACCATACTCATACTCTACTTTTTCGGGTCACTCGACCATACTGATACTCTACTTTCTCGGTCATTCGACCATACTCATACTCTACTGTTCCGGTCATTCGACCATACTGATACTCTACTGTTGCGGTCATTCGACCATACTGATACTCTACTTTTTTGGTCATTTGACCATATTGATACTCTACTCTCTTTGGTCATTTAGTCATACTTATACTCTATTGTTCTGGTCATTCGACCATACTGGTGCTTTACTTTTTTGGTCATTCGACCATACTGATACTCTACTCCTTGCAGTCATTCGACCATACTCATACTCTATTGGGTTGATCGTTTGACCGTAGCTACCCAACTTGCTCGGTCGTTTGACCGTAGCTACCCAACTTACTCAGTCGTTTGACTGTTGCAACTCAAATTTTAAAATCAACTCATTTAAGACCAAGTCATTTAAAATCAACTCATTTAAGATCAAGTCATTTAAGATCAACTCATTGAAGATCAAATCATTTAAGATCAACTCACTTAAGATCAACTTGTTCAGTCATTCGATCGTTGCGGTTTCATAGTTGTTTTTAGGTTTAAGTACCATTTTGGTCCCTCAACTCTTCACTTTGGTACCAAAATTGTCCCTCACCTTTAAAAAGTACCAAATTTATCCTTAAACTTTCATTTTCGGTACCAAAATAGTCCTTCCGTCAGTTAAATGACAGGTGGCACGTTAATTTGCCAGCAAATCAATTATTTTTTTGTTTAATTAATGACATGGAAAAAAAAGTTTAGTTGACCAGCCTAGTTGGCATTTTTATTTAATTTAAAATTTTTAATATCTTTTTTTCCATCCACATCATCTCTTCTTCCTCTTTCACTTTCTTTCTCCTTTACCTTTCTTTTTCCCTTACCTCTGCAAACCCAGATCTGGGTTCACTCTCAAACTTCATCTTCTTCCTCCTTTCCTCC